GAATTCGGTGGTAGAACGTCCCATGAACGATCCTTTCAAAGGGCTTCAAACGCTTGGCATTGCCTTCTGAGGTAGGAATTCTGGGTTGGAGGTCGATATTCCATGCTCTACGCATCCAGGCCATTGGCGTTTCCTCGTGTGGTTTAAGTAGAGAACACACTTCTCGTTACCAGTGATTAAGTCTTCCAGTCATGCGAAGGTGCGTCGGAAAGTCATCAAGTTCAGGCATGAATCCCTCTTCATTTGGAGGTGTTGGCCACCCAGACCACAACTTAACCATATCTACGAATCTCCATGCCTTTCCGAGGCGATGCAAATGGACAGCTGCTGTGTCGTGATGGCTATGAGCTCCTGTTTCAGCTGTCGGGTACTACACCTGGAATCCTCTTCAACCAGTTCCAGGAGGTGGTCGTCATTCAGGTCAATTGGTCTCCCAGACAGTGTTTTTTCGGTCTGGTCAAAGTGGCCATTTTTAAACTTGTTGTACCAACTTCTTGTTGCGCTTTTAGAGACAATAGATGGTCCTATCGGATCGCATATTTCCCCTGTCGCTCAATTTGAATTAACGTTTTTTCTGAACTGGTAAAGTAAAGGCAGTCTGACTCGCTTTGGGTCGAGTGCGATTCTTGCAGCCATAACCGTTGCGAAATGCTACGGCAAATATGGTGTGGAGAGCGCATTGACCTGCACTTACTCATATTCCGCAGTGAGGGCTCTAGAGCAATCCCCAAAGATTTCACAACACGGAAACCAAAATGCGCAAATACTTTTCCGACAACCTAATACTTGACTAGATTTATTAGTTGTTAATCATCGCCATACCTAGTCATGCGAATGTCTTCATAAGGATATTGAGTTAAGGGTAAGTGTGGGACAGATCTTTCTTTAATGAGCCGCCAGACAACAGTACATAGTGTAACGAAAAAGGCGTCTACTAAGTGCAAAAGTGGTTGATAGCGGAGTGTTGTGAATATCTTGTGTCTTATATATTTGAATAATTTCAGCAGTTTCAACAGAGTATGCTTGTCTTTCGAGATTCGAAAATCTTTTCAGATCAAGGTTTGTCACTTAAAAGCAGCCAAGTGATATCAATATCGAAAACAGATCAGTGAACATAGCTCACCAGATAGTAGGGGCAAAAATCTGCTATAGTCAAATATCCATATCCAGAAATTGTCTGTCCTTTTTTATCATGGTACAAGTTTTCCAAATTGTAGTCATATTCTGGCAAAAAATCTGGCGGAGGCGGAGAAGTCTTGTTCATCGGTACAAGGTTACACAAAAGCTGCTCTGATCGTGCAGCAGAACATCTGCAAAGGTAAATCCTGATCAGGTATTACAACTCAATGGAGTGGGCTCTTCAGTTTTTACTTCTAGGGAAAGCCGGTTCCAGTCATCACAAGAGAGCTACAGGTATTCGTCGAATGTTTAGGCAGAAATTGCTGATTGAGTGGATATAACAACATAGCTTACGACACTACTGTAACGGCAATACATCACCATTCAAAACACTTGCTGTTACTGGTATCAGCAGATAGGTGAAGTATGCACTTGACTATTGATGCTAGCACTAATCAGTACATATCACATTAGATATTCCCCTTCACCCTTCACCCCCAATTGCGCTTTCAATGCTTTTAAATAACAGGGTTAGGATTCGCCTCATCTTGTAGAGAACAGGTCCTATCTTATCTGGCATCCAGAAATCCAGAAAGAAGCACGTCAGCAGCATAAAAACTCGAGTACGGACGAAATTAGGTCTTCAGTGATGCTCTAACTCTTGAATATGACCAATGAGTTAAGAACTAATTGCAAGTTCAGCAAGAAATTTACACTCAGTGGCACATCACTACACACGGTGCTCCAAAGCAGGGAACTCATG